GGGGCCCATTTGCCAGTTTTCCTCGACTTAGCAGCCAGCTTTCAACTCCAGCCCTCTCTGATTGTTGCTGAAATGCAGCGCTGGGCAATGATTTCCACATGCCTGCCCGTGCACAAGGGAGGACGGGCCGGGGCAGGGGAGGCACTGAACACATTTTCTTTCCATGACTCGGTGCCTATTGAATGTCAGGGCAGTGGGGAAGGGAGCTGCTGCTGCCGCTGCTGCCCGGATGCAGCGACTGTAAAATATTCCCTGCAGACCTCCGGGGAGCTGCTCTGCTCGGAGCAGCACACACATGCTTGGCCATGTGAGTTTAGCAGCGGAGAAAACGTGCCCCTGAGCTGCTGGAGGGCTCTGCAGCCCAGCCACTGCTCGGTGTGGCAGGGAGTGGGGCTGGAGGAGCTGCAGGAGGAAAACAGGTGAAACCCCCCCGGAGCTGCCCTGGGCTTCCCGGAGAAGTCAAGCACGTTCACGTTGCTGCCATTTCTCCGAGGCTTCAGTGGGAGCTGTCAGGTTTAATACACTGTGTGTATTTACTGGGATTGCCAGGACTCCTCTGTGAGAGCACTGGGCTGCAGATTGGAGCTCTGCACCTCTCCCCAGGGACACAGTGATGCCTGCTGGGTACAGCACTGTTTGGAGGTCCTATCTTTCTTAACTGGTTCTTACTGGGCCTGGTGTGTCAGTGCTTAGTGTGTTTTGACATCTTCCCTCCAGCCTGGACACTGTGCAGGTGAGCTCCTGCCTCTGTGTGTGCTCTGGGAGGGGGGGCTGAGGCTGCTCCCCACTTTGAGCACAGGGATTAAATGGAAGTGAGCAGCTTACAGCAAAAATTAGGTGTCCCTACACCCCCAAATTAGGTGTTCTCACACCAAAGGGCACTTTGTGTGGCTGTAACAGAGGATGGGCTGCTCTGTTGTGCATTTGGAGATCACTGTCACCTCTGCTCAGCCTGAGCTGCCTTGGTCTCCTCCTAAGGCAGGTTTGGAGCCCTCCAGCTGTCCCCTCTCCCCAGGCTGCCCTGGGCTGTCTCAAGGCCAGCTCCAGCCCTGGATGGAGTGTCCCCACCGGGGCCTCACCATGTGAGGGAGAAGCAGAGGATTTAATGTGTCTGGCCAGGAGCCACGCAGGGAGTGGGCCTGGGGCAGGCTCAGCTTAACACTGCCTGGGCTCCAGCTTTGTGTCAGTCCATGCAGCATCCCCATATCCCTGTCCCTGGACAGGTTTGGACAGGGACAAGGGCTGCACAGTGGAGTCTTTCACGCCGTGTTTGCCCCTGTGATGTGACACAGGCTGGGGCCGCTCTCCCCGTGCCCCCAAGGCTGTGCTGACTCCTCACCATCCCACATCCCTGCAGTGGTGTTTGCTGACAGGGAAGGTTCTGGAGAGGAGCAGCCCTAGCAAACCCCTGGGGGCGGTGATTGAAATGCTGCTCAGGATGCTGCAGTTCCCTGTGGCTCCCAGCAGTCACTCCCACCTGCATCCCGTGGAATGCAGGTACCAACCTCCCCTGGCCTGGGGAAGGAGCCCAGCTCAGCAGCTCGGGCTGCTGTGTGACTGGGGGTGGCTTTTCAGGATGGGAGAAGAAGAGAATGAGTGCTCTGGTGTGCAGCAGAGACAGGATTGCCTCTACCCAGAGGAAACCCTGGGATTGTGCCGAGGGCAGGAACAGCCCGGAGCTGTCACCCCGGGTTATGTGCATCACATTCCTGCCTGGATGTGGCACCCACAAAGACAGGAGCACCCAGGTGTGTGTCAGGCCTCTCTGCCTGCTGCAGCATTGCCTCCTTCTCACCTCCCCCTCCTCTCCCCTCCCCAGCCCGAGGCAGCTGGGCCGAGGTGCTGTTTGCAGGGAGGTGACAGCAGACACCTCGGGGAGGAAGCACAGCCCCCCATCTTCAAAAGATGCAATTTGTCTCAGAAGGGAGAACAGCTGTGGGATGAAACCCAGCACTCCTCTGGCTGCCCCAGGCAAGGGACACACTAGGAACTGCTCAACTATTCCCAGTGTGGAATACACTGGGAGAAGGAAGAGGAGGAGAAGGATGTGCTGAGCAAAGTCTCCCCCAGCGTGAGCTGAGGTGGTCACAGCTGTGGACCTACAGAAAGCTTTGCAGTTTCCCAGCCAGACCCATTTCTTTATGAAACACTCCTGACCACAGACCCATTTTTTATGAAATTCCCCCAACTACAATGAGCCCATTTTCACACCTGATTTCCCCTGGACCTCTGTGAGGCAGCGTGATTCCACTGCGAAAACACAAAAGGGAGAAAACACAGCCCCAGAACCCAAAGTAATTTTAGAAAAACTCATGAAAAAACAAGCACTTCTGTCTGCCTTTTGCTCAGCCATTACACTGGCATGTTTGGAAAATGCCCCGAGGCTCTGCCTTGGAAACACACTGCTGGGATTGCAGAGGCAGCTCAGGTGAGTGCCAAGTTCAACACCAGCGACCTCAGCCCTTCACAGGGCACCCGATAAGGGACACTTTGCTTTGTGCTGTCACCGATGGAGCAGCCCCAGCCCCATTAACAGCAAAGGGCCTCGTTAGTCCCACATCAGCCTGCGGGGCAGATGTGCTGTGTTCGTGTCCCACATGCTGGGGAACATCCATCACACCCCGACGCCTCCCCTCCCCTCCAGTCTTTGAACAGGCAGGGATAGCAATCCCTGCTGGCTGCAGCAGCTGGGTGCTTTCCCTCTCCACATCCTCCTCCAGAGCCATCCCTGTCAGGCTCACAGCAATCCCTGGCATGTTGATTATTGTAATTTATGTTTAGGAGGAATGTTATGCACCAATGAGCAGCTCGTGTGACACAACCACTGAGCTCATGTCTCTGGCCACTAATTGCTTGTAACATTCTTGCCCTTTCTCTTGGAGCTGGTTTCCATGTCCAGCTCCAGTTTGGGGCCTTCCTCTCCTTAATTTCCCGGGGCTTTTGCTGGGGATCTCCTTTGGCTTCTGTTTCAAAGTGGACTCAGAGTGCCAGGTGGTCTCAGATCCATGGAATGGGGGGTGTGGCAGCAGTTGTTACACCGAGGCTGTGCTGTGCTGGGAACGGCATGTAAGTGTTCGAGACATCTCCCCCTCCAGGGTGACATCTCCTCTTTAAATAGAATAATGAACAGGGTGAACAGGGAAGTCAGAGAGATTCCAGAGCCTGGCTGGACACTGTGCTGTGGAAAACCTGCCCATTTCTGCAGCCAGTGGCACGAAGGGAGCGTGATGGCCAACTCACCCCGAGCTGACTGTGCACCCACATGACCAGGTACTCATTGACCAGGGGTTAGGAGAGGCCAGGCGGCCACACGAGCCAAGAGGCACATCACACCTCTGGGTCTCACCCTCTGCTGCTCCTCCCGGAGCCCTGCAGAGCAAAGGATGCAGATCCTCGGGAGGCAGGTGAGAAACGAGCAGCTCCAGGCAGTGAGAAACGAGCTGCTCGCCCCGTGTCACCCAGGACAGGCTCTCCCCCCCTGCTGCAAAGTCACCATGTCCCAGCTGGGGCAACGTGACTCAAGTGTGAACTCCCCACCTGCTTCTGGAGGGGCAGTTCCAGTTCAGAGCCTGCTGGTTCAGCTCTGTGTGCTCAGACAGGGCTCAGCTCATGTGCCCACCAAGGGGGTTGACTGAAGAGCTGCTGTGGAATGTTTGACCCCACTCACACAGCCCACAGGCACCACTGAGGGCCTCAGGTCTTGGCTGGGGACAGGCTAAAGGGAACAAACAAAATGGGTCCTGCTGAAACAGCCCTTTCCTCCACGGGGGGCTCAGCTTTTTACACTTCTGCCACACCATCTGTGAGCCACTTCCCTGTTCCTCGAAGTGTCTCCCAGCAAGCTCGATGGTTCTAATATAAGAAAGGAGAGTCAGCAAGTCCGACGAGACTCCCACGTTCCAAAAGGAAAAGGGAAAAAGGGGCTCTGTCAGCAGCAGAAAGCCCGAATTTGTGTCTCCTGGACAGTCTTGTGGGATCTCAGATGTCTGGAAAGGAGAAGACCCTACATGCTCCCCCAGAAAGGATTTCCCCACAGAGAACTTGTGTCCCCTTTCCTCTCCCTCACCAGCTCTGCTGTGTCCTCTGTGTTCCCACTTTCTATACTCGGTATAGATGGATTTTGTTCCTTCCCTGCCCAGGTGTCCTGCTGGCATCCCTCTGCCTTCCCCTGCCACGTTAAACCTCCTGCACATCCCCCAGATTTACCCACTAATTACAGCAACTCTGCTGACAGACAGGATGGTCTGTAGAGGGAAGGCGAGGACTAATATAGCTGAGGATATAAGAAATTAATTAGTTTCAGACAGACAATGTTGGCACCTCCAGTCAGCCTGATTTATTTCCATGGCTGCTCTATTTCTGGCAAACAGAGGATGTTTGACTAAATATAAGACAACAAGTAGCTGGAATGGATGGCGAAGCCGCTGCTAAACACGTAACCCCACCGACAGAGTGACACAGGGGCTGCAACCTCCGCGGCCGCCCGAGGGATGCAGGTCCCGCTCTCACGGGCTGCCCCCGCTCAGGCACATCTGCCAAGAGCCTCAAGGACGGGTGGGAAGAGCCGCGGGAGGGAACTCCCCTGACCCGGGTGCGAGGCTGCGATCGGTGTGTGTGCGTGTGTCCGTGTGTCCCTGCCCGCAGCGCTGCCGGGGCAGCGGGGCCGAGCGGGCTCCTTATCCCGGGGCTGCGGCGGGGAGGAGCCAGCGCCGCTCCGAGCCGAGCGCCGGCAGCGCTCCCGCACCGCGCCGGGTCCCGCACCGGCCCCGCTCCAGCTCCCGCTCCGCGTCTGAGCCGGCACCGGCCCCGGCCCCGCTCCAACCCGCTCCTCCTGCTCCGCCACCGCTTCCGATCCCACTCCTGCTCCTGCTCCGGCATCAGCGCCGCTCCAGACCCTCCCCGGCACCGGCCCCGCTCCCGAACCGCTCCCGGCTCGTTCCCAGCCCGGCCCCGGAGCGGCCCCGCGGCTCCCGCAGCGCCGCCCCGGCTCTGCCCCGGCTCTGCCCCGGCTCTGCCCCGGCTCTGCCCCGGCTCTGCCCCGGCCCCGCGGTGCCGGCGGCAGGAAGGAGGAAGGGACACGGCAGGAGGGAGAGCGACCTGCTCGGTGAGTGCCCCCCCGGCGGGATGGGGGTCCCTGCCCGCTGCCTTTGGGACCGCTTGGGGCGGAAAGTCCGAGGGGGGGGAAGAGCTGAAGTTGGAGGTATGGGGAGGGAGGGTTCAGCTCGGTACCGAGCGCAGCGAGAATTTGTACCTGTCTGTGCCCTGCTGCGGGAGATTCCTGCGCGTGTTTTGGTCCTAAACCTTGATTAGGGAGCTCTGGTCAACGCTTCGATCATTATAAACTTTGGCAGACACCCCTGGCGTGGGTCCCGCTGGGAAGGTCCTGGGGGGACCCTTGCAGGGGGAGAGTTGCCGGGGTGGGGGGCTGACACCCAGGGTCTGTGTGGTGGCTTCCCCGGCTCAGACAGGAGCCCTGCCGCTGGCTGGCCGGCGTTCCCCTTGCGCTGCATTTTTTGGTGGCTGTCACTATCAGCTGCATCTCTCCAGCACCGCCTGTTGCTCTGACGAGTTCCCAGGGATGTGGGAGAACTCGCCCCAGAATGCCTGTCCCCCCTCCTCGCTCCTGAGAGCTGCTCTCCCTGCCGTGCCAGCCCTGCCTCCTGAAAAGTCAGGCTTTAGTAGACTAGCTCATCTCTCCATGAAAACAGCCTGGAATGAGCGTGTTGGCACAATAGTGGTGTTAGCTCTGAAAAGAAGGAACATCAGGGCCAGGCCTGGGGCTGCTGGCAGTGGGGTTTGTGCTGTGCATCAGGCAGATGAACAGTGTGATGTGATGTGTGTGTCAGGCTTGGAGAAGGTGCCTGAAGGGGAAGAGCTTTGAACAAGCATCAGGCAGAAAGTTAGAGCCTCTGGATAAGATCTGTGAAAGGACAAGTGCCTTCAGACAGGACCCTGCAAGGAAAATAGGATTAATTTCCTCCTCAGTGGTTGTGGGGGCAGCACAAAGACCTGCAGATGTGCTTCCCCACAGCTGAAGAGGGGTAAATGCAAGCTGAGTCTTGTTTTCCTGCCTCACGAGGCTTTGCCAGGGCATCTGGGTCACCCCATCTGTGGAGAGCTCGTGAAAACCAGTTCCCATGATCCTGAAAAGATTCTCTGGGTGCAAACAGCCAGCCAGGAGATAACTGGACAGTTTGTGTCAGCAGGAACACGTCAGTGGGGGCACACTGAGGTCTCAAAGGGCATTTGTAGTCCAGAGCATCCTTTTCCTCCCTGGGGAAGATCCATCAATGGGAGGTGACACGTCCTAGAGCCCGATGCACAGGAGGAACAGAGGCAGGAATAGGAGGGCACCTGGTTCACCAGCTGGCACCTCACCCCTGAAACTTCATCTCTGTGTGTAGGTGTGAGGCACCCAGCTCACAGGGCACTGATTTTTAGGCTCCTGTCAAGCCAGAAAACTTCTGAGCGAGTTTTGGTGTCTGTTCTCCAGACGGGACCACTTTTGATGGCAGCTCTTGCAGATTTGTTTCCAAGTACTCAGGTTTACTCACCCGTGCTGGAAAATATTGGTACCGTGACCAAATGAGAGCAATTAATAAATGAGTAGTGGAACAACCTCGCCAGCAATAGCTGGGAGTTCCCCCTCTCTTATCCTACTTGGACAGAGAGAAAGAAAGAGAGGAAAATTTGTAACTAAGCAGGACTCTGAGGATCTGTCTCTGTCCACGGCCTTGCCACGGATTCTGCCTGACCTTGGCCACGTCACCACCATATCCCCATGTCTGAGTCCCCCCATCTGTTAACACTTGACCTTGCTTTGTTCTCGGAGTTTTGCTCCCTGAGCTCTGCAGGGCTTTGGGATGCTGGCAGGGATGGGCGTGGAAGCACTAAAATCCTCCTCTCAATGCCACGAAGGCCCCTTTCAGTGAACAAGCTCTTTGTGGTCCCTGAATGGACCCTTCAGACAGGCTTTGCTGCCCAGCCAGTGGCAGAGCCAAGTGATGGTGTCACATATTCGGAGGTTACAGGTGACTGAAATGCAGCTGGATGTGCTTGGCTGATTTTTACTGGCTCCCCAAGGAGCTGCTTTAAATCTTTAGCTTTATCAGCTTTTATCTGCTGCCTTTCACGGGCATTCCTTGCCAGTGTCACTGCCTTGTTTGTCAGGGTACAGCCCTGAGCAGGGGGGCTGGAGGGGACAGATTTTGCCTTCTGTTGCTGGCACTGGCTCCAGACGAGGTAGATGAAGGCAGCTGCATTTTGCACATGGTAAAACAGAGAGGCAAAATGGCTCAAGGTGTTACAAGGAGCCTGTGGCAGCTCAGGGAGTTGAGTTTTGATCTCCCAAGGCCATGAGATCCCTCTGTTCTCTCTGTCCTGCCACCTGGTCAGACAGAAACCTGTGTCTGTACCTTCCATAGGTCATGTCTGCATTAAAATATCCACGTCGCAGCTTCCACTGAGACCATCCCTTTGGTCTGGCCTTCTGGAGAGAAATGAATGTTTGGTCAACCCTTGTAAACCCTGAGACATTCCTCTGGCTTCCACACAGACCTGAGGTTTGGGCCAGGAGGCCTGAGAATCTCCAGAAAATCTGGGATGCGTGTTTGGGAATCGTGTCAAATAACACTAAGAGTTTCCAAGAAGGTTTATACTCAGTAGGAGCCTCCCAAATTCTCCTTCCACTCTCAGGGGAATTGAGGCAACTTAAAGCAGCTTCTCCAGGCAAGAGGACAGGGGGTCTTGGCTCTGGGGCCAGTTCAGAGCAGATCCCAAGCCAGCCTGGAGTGAGTTCTGCTGGGAGTAACTCTTGTACTGACACCCAGAAAGGTCAGCTCTGCTCTCTGCCATGGTCTTGGTTTACTTCTTTACAGGTAGAACACGGAACAAAAGGTCTCAATTTAAAAAAGGCCCTTTGCTTGCTTTCAGAGGTTTGACCTGCTGGGTTTGCTTTCCTCTAAATTCACTTGTTCCTGCTGTTTGCAAAGGGAAAACCGAGAGCAGAAAGCAACCTGTTGATTAATGTAGATGCAAAAGCCCAGATTACAATCTGGTGAACAATTAACTTCGAGGAGTCGATCTGTAATCAGCCAGAGCATCTTTTGCTCTCTTTCTAATCAGGGTTTCTTTTCAGGTAGCGTTTTGCCCGCAGCCAGCGCTGCTCATCATTGTTTGCTCAGTCGCTCACAATCTCGGCTGGTATCTTTGTCTCGGCAGCCTGGCTGGAAAAGAAACTGCTGTGGAATTATTTTCGAGCCGCAGAGCAGAGCGGGGTGAGCCCTGGGAGCCGGCTGGGCTCTGTCTGCGCTCCTGCCACCGCTGCCACCTCTCATCTGTCTCCTCCTTTCTTTGCCTCCCTCCTTCGCCTCCTTCCAGCTGCGTCTCCGAACTTGAGACCTGTCTTCTCTCTCGCCTTCTGGGCTCCCTCGCTGCTTCGGGGATGGGCTCCAAGCCGCCCGCAATTAAGGCTGGATTTTTGCAGGCGCGCCGCATTCCCGCTGGGAGATGTCCACATGTCCCCGGCAGCGCGTCCCTGCCCGCTGGGCTGATCTCTGCCGAAAATCCGGCCCTTCCTTTTCACACCTGAGCAGCAGCCGGGGCTCTTGTTAAAACTCTCAGCCCTGTGCTGAATGCATAATGCAGCTTTTCAAGCGCAGGCAGGACCCGCGGGAATGCAGCTCACGGAGAGGGAGGATGCTCCAGGCTTTGGGGCACTTGGATCCCGCTGCCAGCACCAGCCCCTCTGGTTTTGTTTGTGGTTTCTCTGTGCCCCCATCTCCCATCGGGGGCCGTCCCTGCCACCCCAGGGTGCTGGGAGGGTCAAAAACTCTGCGAGTGTGCACGCTGAGGGATGTTTGAGCTGCTGTTTTCAAGGATTGGTGCTCGTTGCCTGTCGGGAGCCAGGTCTCCTGGAGCAGCTCAGGTGGAACGTTGCAGAGATCTCAGTTTGGTCTGACCTGTGGTTTTGCTTCCCTTTCACCTTCCCTCGTGGCTTTGAATCAGGCATTTTAGAGCAGGGACAATTCCTCACGAGCCCCTCGATCCCTGGGCCCAGCAGGCGCTGCCAGGACAACAATAATTACATTATTTGAGTGGCAAATTGCAGATCCAGAGCTGTCAGTGCCTGGTACCTGTCACCTCTGCCAGCACTGCAGGAGCACGGGGATCATCAGAGCTGCTGCTGGGATGCAGGGAGGAGGGAGCAAACAGGATGGATTTAGTGGTGTTGGATTTACTGCCCTTTCCTTAGTGCCTGGGAAGGGAAGGTTTCTGTCTGCACTTGCATTGCCAGTGGAGACACTCCAATTAATGGTGCATTCAATCCGATTATTTTGTTACTTCCCCCCTCCTTTTTTTTACTTTTTTATTTCGTTTCTTACTAATTGGATTAATTACAGCCAAACAATTCACCTTGGCACCACCCTGGAGTTCTGTCCTCATCATTTATCAGAGGGGAATATTCCTGGGGCTAGAAATTCCATCACTGATGGCCCTGGATCTCCAACCAGAGGTTTAAACTCTCTCTGATGAGCTGCTCTGCATTAAACAGCCCCTCTCTGTCTGGGCTCTGGGGTGACATGAATTTTGTTTGGCTTTTGGGCACCCTTTCAGTTTGCTCATGCAGTGATGTTTTCATTACTGGAGGCTTCTCCATGACCCCTCTCCCTCTCTTTCTCCCCGAATCTCAGCTGTTTCCTGTAAAACAACCCAAATTTTCCCAGCTGGGGGGCTTTGGAGTGGGGCAGGGGACTGGATTTGACCAGTTTTGTGGGGTGTTGCTGTTGTTCTGGTGACTTTTAATTGAATTGCTCCATTAAAAAAGGAGAGGCTGTTGAAGCTGTAAACACTGAAACCTCCGAAAAAAATCAAAATGTGCCTTTTTTGGGAAGCAGAAACATTCCAAACGTTCCGGGTTTTTTCCTGCTATTTCTCTATTTCGCTTGAAATGGTTTATTTTTACTGGGTCTATTTAATTATTCGGTCAGTGTTAATATGCTGGTCACTCAGGGGGTGTGATTCCTGATCCCAGCTGGATTTATCCTCAAACCACCCCCCCTCAGGCATCGCTTTTCCCTCACTCCAGTCCCTCCCAGAAATTCC